TATCTCCCAATACCTCTATTCTGAGAAGCAGCAAAAAATTCTTAAGACAAATATTTTTGGTTTGATAAAACGACAAGTACACATTTAAACCACGCTTTACCAAAATACCCCAAAAAATTAAAGCAAGTGTCTGAAATAAGACAATCTGACCGATAAATCTTCTAAATTCATATTAGCACACAAACTTAATCATGAACAGCATAAAAAAATAGAAAACTCCACCTGGGCTCAGCTAATCTTTAAAACTGTGTGATTAGATAGATAGATAGATAGATAGATAGATAGATAGATAGATAGATAGATAGATAGATTTTTAAAAATATAAGATAACTTTATTTTCTGATGCTTACCTGTAAAGGTGATTGTTAGCTACTTTAAACTATGAAATGCATCTTACCAAAGCAAATTTTCCTCTCAAAATGTTCATAGTAAATCAATGTATGGTATTACAGCCTGTTGTCAAATTAAGTTTGAACTCCTTTCACATGTACATACTTATATGCTACAGTAAAACAGTTAATTACTTAATAAGCGTTAAAATTGCATACAACCTCTATGACCAGCAACCCAGAAACATTTAAAAAGCTTTCACCTTCAATCCATTAGACATTACATTGCTCTCCTATTTTTAAATACAAGTTCAATAAACAGTTTATGTGCCTATGTCTACATCGATGCTAGGAACTATCAGATGCAAGAATATAAGCACAGCTCAAAACAGGCAGTGCACGTTGTGTGCAATTTAATACTTCAGGTAAAATAAGCGCATACACCATATATTATAAGTATTAATTTTCCTTGGAATAAGCATGCATTTATGCAAAGAAACAAAGTTGAATTTACTGTACCATATCTCTTGTGAACAGATGCGTCTATATTAATATACATCATTGATTTAATTTTTCGTTTTCTTGGCTTCTCGCTCACCTATCTAGAAGTGATTCCTCTGGTGATAACTAACACATCATGCTAATGAGAGAATCTAATGTACAATAGAGAAATGTCACTACTAATAATATTTGCATGAAGTTAAATAAAGCAACTGTAAGAGAATGTCAGACAGTTGTTCTTTAATAAGATACAGTTACACAATGAAATTATGTTGTTAATTTTGTTACATCATTGAGTGAATCCTAAATTACTATATAATGATGCACAGATCCATTTATAATTCTGTATACTGCTTTTTAACTCTCCTGTTGAAAATAGCTTCTGGAAAGACCTTTTTATCTGAAATGGATTAAACATACTTTTTTCTCAACAAAAAGGTGGATGGCTCTGGCATTTTGTGTCACTGTGGGTTACAGCCATTTCTCTTACAGTCTCATTTCTGAAATGACTTTTAAGTATTTTAGAACATTACAGCCCTTAAGGTAACTGGATAAAGAAAAATGGTATTTCTTATTCTGAAAAATGCACAAAACATTTATGAAAGCAGACAATCACAAAAGCGTGCTTTTTTTTTTTTTTAATCAATCAAGCCCAGACCTTCTTTTCTGTTGTTAACAACTCCTTGCCAGAACTAGAATGGGCAGTGCGTGCCCTGGACCTAACCAGATGAGCATGGAAAAGAAGCCAAGGGTTTCTGCTCATTCTCGACCTGTCACTGATCAAAGTGACCCAAAGAAGCACTCCTTTTTAAAAGTTAAGATTTACGCCCTTTGAGGTTATCAGACATTCTTCTGTATATAGAAGGGATGACCCCTTTCAAGCAAATCACAGTCTTTTACATGGACAAAAGGTACATAGGCAAAACAATGCAGTCAAGTGGCCATGTCATAAACTTCTCACAGGTAATTTAGGATAGTATTTGTTTTCCCCTCTCACCCCTGCCAAAACCTAAATTTGCTCTGGAATGTGGAGATAGCATTTTTTGTGCTCCCATTTGTGAAAGAAAATGGTCCAAAGTAAGTACCAACATACTTGCTCTTAATAGCCCAAACTTGTAAAATCAATCCTAATTTTTCTGAGACACATATCACAATGAAGTTGATTTTATTCTGAGGAAAGTTATTCCCTCCTATATTATGCAAATAGCAGTGCAGTGTGAGTTGAGAGGTAAGAAGAGGGAGGGATTGAAAGGTTTTGTTTTGTTCTAAATAAATCTTCTTGCCATGCTTCAATTTTTCCACTAAAAACCTGCTTGAGATTAAGTTACAGTTCCAAGGAAAAGTGATGATGATCAGAGTTTGTTTGCTTCTAAAAATATGTGGAAAGGCAGCATTACACTTAGAAATTTAAAAGATAAATGTCCCTAGCATTACTGTATATAGCTGGAAAAGTTTCACTAAATAGTTCTTTCAAACCATGCCAAACTTTGCTTTCAACTTATGTACATTTCATAACTTCATGTTATACTCATGAAAACAATTTTTCTTAAAGCATAGGAAAAGCTGTAAAAAATACTTACATTTCCAGAAGATGGACTGAAAATAATTGACTAGCAAATGAATGAAAATAGATAATAGAAAACAATATTCAAAATTTTAGTGATTTACAAAGAAACACTGGCAGTTAGACACAAATTTGCAACTGCACTTGCACACTGTATGTGCAAGCCAGCAAGTTACAACAGTCCCAACAAATCAGAAATTTAAGACAAAATGCTATCCTTAAAGAGGAGAGAAATGCATTTAGCAAAATAATTTACCCTCCTCTTAAAAGCATGATGAAAGCATATTTGCACTGGATATCTTTAGCACATGATAAACAAACAAACAAAATATGACAAGGAGATTAACAAGTACGCAAATATGTCAAGAGCAGACTTTTAAGAAATAAATCTGCTTGACGTTACCACCTTTTCAGTGCTACCGTGTATGTATGCCAGTTCACACTGATGCAGCATCCACCACACATTTAGTCATTTAGTACATTACTTCTCACTTTCTATACAGAGTATATGGGTAGTCATATTCAATAATGTAAAAATCCAGTTATTATTCAAGAATTAGTACATTAAAAGTATTATTTAAAAAGAAAAATAGCAACCAAATAACCTAGCTTGAGTGTATGCATGTTTGGTCTGGTTTAATAAGCTAGTTGTCTCTAATTATTTGACCCCCTTACATATTGTGATGCTCTTCTATTTAGTTTTGTTTCCTTTCTTTGTCAGTGTTGAACATTTTCTGGTATTTCAAAGACCACACAGTCTAAATCTGTTGAAAAAGATCTAATACTAAACAGGCAATCTAATGTTATCTATGTGGTTCAATCATCATTTATCAATTGATTGTTATCTGGATCTAGTTATGTTAACTCTTTTGTGGCTGAAATGAAAAGAACCTTCCCTCCAGCCCTAAAATTCAATCTGCCTTTTCGCTAGAAGAATACAGCAGGTAATTAGGATAACTGCTTTCTATGCCATTGCCTAGTATTACTGTAACCAAACATGTTATGTATCACACACAGGCATAGAGCTGATAATGTTTGTAAGCAGTGCATAGCAATTCATACTTCCTGGTGCCAAGCAGTGTTTCTGAAATGTGCATCTCTACCAGGAAATGAACTTTCTTACTTTCAAGAATGGGAAATTGAACAGAGTTGCTTATTTGCCTTACGTTGATTACATTCTATACCAGCATACTGTATCAGCAGTAATCAGGGTCCCTCTACAGGATATATCAAAATATTCCTTATTCAAATGCCTTCATCCTGTCCTGAGCTATACTGCTTAAATTGTCACCCACAGACAACCGCTATTGGTTAATAACTATCTGCTTTGGAGTTTTTCTTGGATTTAAAGTTTTTTAAAATATTAAAATATTGTTTTATGGTCAGTATTCAAGCATATTTTCTTTAAACTACAAAAACCTATTTATTTTCCCTCTCTTTTCTTACAGTACAACGCCTCTCAGGTAAATTAATTAATTCAATTTTATATCCAGCATTAAAAGAAAGCCAAATATTATTACACAAATTTATTGACTCCTCTTGTGGCTAACACAGTATTTCAATTATTATCCATCAGTGTCAGACCATAATTGGAAACTAGTTTTCAGAAGGGTAAAACATCTCCTGGTAGGGAGTCACCCTGCTAAAAACCTCCAGGTTGAACTTCCCTCCCCTGCTTGAGCCCCATCCAAGCTGAAAGTTTGTCACTCTCTTTTTTCTTTTTTTTTCCCCTCTCCCTTTTTTTTTCCCTTTTCCCTTTCCCCTCACCCAGGAGAGCCAAGCAATTGTGCAAAATTTACTGTAACACACAAGGCGCGTATCACCAAGTGCATGGTACAGAGACACTGGCTCCTGTGATTAATTATCAGTTATAACTGGCCTTGCAGTAACATTTTCGCTTTCCCGTCAGAACCGGCATACCAAGCTGCCTTAAACGCGGCCCCCGGTGAAGGAGCAGCTCTGGGGAGGACGCCAAGGCTCAGCTCCGAAGAGAGAGGGGGAGCGAGAGAGGGAGCAAGCGGGGAGAGGGAGCGGGAGAAGAGAGACCCGAGGGCTGAAATTGTCTCCTCTAACGACCCTCACCTCCGTGCTGGCAGCAGCTCCAGCAGGACAGCTCGTCGCTCCTTCCCCTGAACAAAACTCTGTTCTGCCACATGAAGTCAATTATGCCGTTCAGAGGGGCCCCCTAAATTTAGTATCAGTTTGATTTTAGGGGCTTATGCACTCAAAAAGAAAAAGGAGTTTTCCTGGGATAGCAGATACTTTTATTTATGGGACGGGGGATAGCAAAGGAGAAAAGACTGGAACAAAAAAAAAGCAAAGAAAGAAAGAAAAACAATCTTATTCGGAGTAAAGCTCCATTTGGAAACTTTAAAACAAATGCTCTGCTTTTACTTAAGGCTTTAATATTTTTTTTTCTCTTAAAAAGGAGCCCTTAGGGAAGAAATGAAGTAACCATGCACATTCCAATGACATAGTTATGACAGTTCAGAGGCTAACTATGTAGTGATGAATGAAACAAAAATGAAACGTGGAAAGAAAGAGAAAAGGAGGGGGGGGAAAAAGCACAAAAATTCCATGTTTTAAAATAAACGAAAGTAACGTACCTGTTGGGACATTCTGAATAAGAGGTTAGTGTCAGTGTTCTGCCATGTCCCCATGAAACCAGAGTCGGTCGCTGCCGTTCTTGTTCCGAACTGCATGGAGTTGTCAGTGCAGGAGTCTCTTAAAGTCAAGTCTCTTGCCCTCTTTCGCTCTCTGTGTCTCTGTGTGTGTCTGTCTCTCACATCCACTTCTGCTCTTCTGACTGAAAAGTGAAGGTGGATTATAAGCAGGAGTAGTAATTAGACAATATTCATCATTGGAAGGGGATTCAGGGGAGGGTCAGAGCTTCTTTCGCACCTTCAGCAGAGAGACCCCTACATTTATGCATAGATTGTGACTCCCAAGCTCGCCTTTGCTCAGTTTTAAAAGCTGCTGTCAGTGTGCACAGCACTAAGAAGATCCAACCATCAGCTTCAAACTCTCAGCACTGGATGTCATTGGATAGCAGAGCAAAGAGTCAACTGCACTGCTCCACTGTCAGGCACCCAAATGACATCTGCACCAACTAACCTTCAGTCTACAGATACACAGATAACACACACACGCACAATTCTCTCTAAGTAGCACAATGATTAGAGTGAATGGGAGGGAAAAAAGGCTGTGCCTTTTCCTGTCTTCCTGTTTTTTCTCAACAATGCTGTCATGTACAGCATTTATATCTGACACTTGCTACCACACAGATTAAGCAAATCCAAAGAAACAGAAAAGAAAAAAAAAAAACAAAAACAAACAAAAAAACCAAAAAAAACCAACAACAACAGCAAAGCAATTAAATACAGTCAATATTAACTTAGAAAATAAAACATAAAAGTTGGCCTGATTATTTTCTAAATATTAGTCAGAAAAGATTCAGAGCTCAGCTTCTATCCAAAAGAAACTCTTACCAAAGAATGATCAACTCTTTTGAAATTAAAATAGAAAGTCGAAACACTCATTTCACTCTCTCTTTTGCCCACTGCTAAGTCTTAAGCAGAATTGAGAGCAAGAAAGGACGGAAAAAATTACAAAGCTGGCCTTTCCTTTCCTCCCCCAAAAGATCAAAAGTATTTTCGTTTTTTTTTTTTTAAGAAGCTGGTTGAAGCAGATACAATACACCTTTCAAATAGTAAAGAACAAAGAAATTAAACCAGCAGAAAAAATCTGTCCACACAGCTAAAAAATACGAAAAAACCAGTGTTTTTCCTATAAATCTCCTGTACTTAAAGTACAGTACTATACATCAAATAAATAATACTATTGCAATATTGCTCTTAATTACAAAGGCTTTTTAAAATTAACTTTATTTTGAAAAATTCTCTTACCCATTTCATCCTTTATATACAGAAAGAAATCATAACTCTGCAAAAAATTGCATAAATAAAACAAAATTCATGCAACCGTATAAAAAATGGCCAGAGTTAAAAAAAAAAAAAAAAAGGTATCCTTTCCAACATAAGGAACATTCATCTTCTAATAAAATCTACAAATTTAGGAGGACAAATGTACCACTCACTGCTTTTTTCTTTAACTCAGGAATAACAATAAACCTCACTCTCTGAAACAACAAAAGAAACAGAAGAGAGCTTCAGTGGCAGCTCTGTGTCATTAGTGTGCAATGAGAAAAGATGAGAAGATGTACACTATGTTGACACAAATGTGCCTTCCCCTCTAGACCCTACATCTCTTGAAAGCTTTTCTGTTAAACTTTCCTTCAGTTCAGCACCATTAAGTACAAAAAAAAAAAAAAAAAAAAGTCTCAGAAGCAGCAAATTCAATATCCAAGAAGAAACAAGGAAGAACCCCAAGAACTGTTGCTTTAAAATATATTAAGTCCACTTGTGGTCAATAAAAATATTCTCTACTGGGGAGGGGAAAATGACACTTAGGAGTCAATTGTACCACCAGTGGCTGTACCTTTACAGCTAGCTATTAGCCCCTCAAACTCCCTCTAAAATTTGCCAGCCTCTTCATTTCTGAAGTGGCACTCAGTGCCTCAGTCAAGCTGCATGCTCAGCTCCTGACCTTCCCACTAATGGCTGTTATTTGTGGGAGGCTTAAGGACACTGTCAATAGCAAGCTTCCTCCTCTCCGTTCTGCATCTCTTGTGTGCTCTCGCTCACAGTCTTTATCTCCATCTCTTACCCACTCCCCCCCCCCCCCCCCCCCTGCATCTTTTTCCTGTCCTGCAGTGCTCTCCTCTCCCAGAGAATAAAAAAGCCACCCCCACACACACATCCATGCACACACGCATGCATGCGTGTGCACACAAACACACACAAAATCAACTGGAGTGCAGCAGCTAGCACCTGCAGTAATAGACTCTTTTATTAAAACTGTTATTCTGCAAGACTTGAAATTCCCAGTGGATCGGGCCATGTCAAAGCCGATATAATTAACTAGAGGCTCAGCAACGGATCAATTACCAGACAAGCAAGTGATAGTGAAATCAATGAAAGATCATCAGCCACATTATCAGTGTTGCAACTCATTAGGGTAAAACTGAGAAATGTGCTCAAAGCCAGACCAAGCAAGGTGGCATTACAAAACAAAGGGCTAATTTGGAGACCCTGCTGTGAACAATCTGTAACAGAATTAGCCTTTTTTCCCCCTAAACTGCAGAGCTAAGTAACGAAATGTGACAGACTGAGAGAAGCAGTTTATTAAGACACCAACTCCAAGTTTATTTAGTTCATAAACTCTCTCCTAGAAAATCAATACAGTCTGTACAGGGTTATTAGGCTGACTAGCTAATACATCCAAATCTGGTCTTCCCAAGCAGAAATCTTGGCCAGAATGCTACAACCTTACAAGAAATCTAAGCTCATTCAGATCACTGTATCAAAGGAGGACTATCATTTAATTGTCAAATGTGTGACTTCTACATCCCAGCTTCAGAACATTTTCAAAAAGATATATTCCACCCCCCACTAACATGACAGAGAAGAAACAAAATTTAGACTGTCAGTCCCAGTCCAGCTCAGGTCATCCTTAAATTTACAGTGTCTCTACTGCATCTTGCTTGGCAAAATAATGCCAACACAGAAAAACCAAAACAAGAAATACTGAATTTCAAACAGGGATATGAAAAGTAGCAGTCAATAAGGAGATAAAAGTAACCAAGCAGGAAAAATACAACAGAAGCCAACCTCCTCAAGTAGCAGTTTAAGCCTCATCCAACTGTACTGTACAGCAATGAGTTCTGGGATTGGGGAGGAAAAGGGGGGAAGGGAGGAGGGTAGAAAAAAGAAAACAAAACATTAAAAAATCAGAGCCCACAACTTCACTATACAAGTCTGGCACAAACTGAGCATTTTCTCTCTTCTTTGCCTAGCTCATAGGAGAATCTGAAACATTATAGTCAAGGTAAGGGCTCTAAAGGTATTTGAAAAAATCCTTAAAAGCATTTTTAAAAATCTCATTTTCAATAGATTTATAATCAGGAGTATGTTCTGCAAGTATTTTACTGCTATCCAGTAATATACAATGGCATTTGTGCTGACAGATAAAAGGATCTGTGAAATTATTTTACATTTTCACCTCCTGGGAATATCCAGATGCTGAATAGAAGAGGTGCCTACAGAATGCAGGTTCTAATGGAACTTAAAACAGAGTGCAGTTGCAGTTGTCTGCTTGTGTTTTTTGAAAATGTTACATGCTCTGTGTTAAGGGTTTTTTTCTTCTTTTAATTTTAAATAATATTTTCAAAGACAATTACATTATCTGCATGACTTTCTGAATCTTTTAAAAATATAATTTGTTGATTTCATCTCTCCTCTGAAAACTACTGATACAGAAATGCACCATATGGCAAGAAAGAATAGGAAAGGTGATTACAGAAAATTCAGGTGATGCCAAGAAGAAAATCTAGCCAGCAGAATATGCCATATAATGTAAATGTATCCTACTTCTTTCTAAATTCCATTACTCTGACAGTTTAAGTGTTAATTATTCAGTCAAACGGTTAATGCAAATAGTTCAAAATGAATAAACATTTAAAAAATATTTTCTTCTTTTTGTTCCAATTATTCGGTATTATTAATTAAGCTGTTAAAACATGCAACAGTTATTATCTCCTTAATGTTCAATAATATGTAAACTCTTTAAAGAGATTTTTGTTCCACGTCTCTGCTTTAGATATTAATCAAGAAAATAATTACAGAGGAATTTAGTGAAAAAATCTACATGCATATAACTATGTACTGTACATGTACATTCAATGAGGTCCAATTAGTTGGAAAGAATTTGCATTTCAGTTAGTATGAGCTAACAAGACTGTAGGGAGACAATGTGATTCTACTCGCAGGGCAAGAAAGAATGGTGTTTTTCTGTAAGCATTAATTCCCATAACTGATCATTTTAAAATGTTACTGATCTTTACAGTATTTGTTTTTCAAACATCTAGGAGTTCAGTATAAATGTTTATATTAACTGTACATGAAGCAGTGTCCCTGAGACGACTCTTGGGGGAAAAAAAAAAAAAGATAAAACAGTGAGCATAGATTTATTATTTCTCTTAATTTAGTATTTACAATTCTATTTAAAGATAAAGAGCAATCGATTATTTGAAAGGAGAGGTCCTTATATTTGATGTTCATTCACAGGATTCATCAAAGTCACTGGGAGAAGATTCAGAAAACTTTGTCGTTTTATACAAATGTACCAATCTTCAATAGTAATGATAGATACACACACCATACAGTCACTGAACTTCTCTCCTCTCTACTCTCAACCAGTTTACGGGCTAGTACCTGTAACTCCCAGAGTTCATTTGGCTCCAGATATTAACAGTTTCTCTAATTTGTAATGGCAGCAAACTGGCCTTTGCTCTTCCCACATTCACTATTCATTTCTAGGCTTGGTTAAGTAGATAGCTGGGTTAAAGATCAGTGGTTTTTCATGTGACACATTCTGCTATTCATCTAACAGCTCGTCAGGACAAAACTGTCCCTGTTCTTGCCAAAATAATGAAAATGGTCCTCTACATCGCATGACAATCAGCCCTTGCTTGTGCTGAAACAACTAAGCTTATATAGTTTAGTTGTTTTAAAGACATTTTGGAGCTGACTATTCCACACTGCCTCCAAAAATGTATGTATTTGACCAAGTATGAAAGAATTCTTCTTCTTACAATAATGTGTAAGCAGAGACTGTAGCAATCACATTAAATACTTTATCCATGGATAAGAACGAAGTCATGAATTGTGTCCTATCAGGAATATTATC